CATCCCGACGTTTGCCAGCAACTTTGCTCACCTGTGGGAGCAGATTGGCGCGTCGGGCGAGGAGTCTGAGGAGACGTTGCAGCTCAGCGGCGTGAAGAGCATTGCTGGTAGGTTTTCCCCCACAGCCACCCCGACTTTATCGCATGTCCTTACACTAACCCCCATTCAAGACGCAACAGAGCAACTCGCCAAGACGCTGTCGCTGCAGCCGCTCGAGGGCACCGACATCCCGATGAGCCAGACAACGCACACGCTCAAGCTGCTGGGCAAGACAGTCAACGGCGGCCGCGTCGTTGCCAACGTCCGCATGGCCTACTCTTCCAAGTCGGGCGTAACCACCAAGGTGACGGTCCGCAGCGAGGAGGAGGGTGTGTCGGCTCTGGTTGTCGCCGCCCTCGGCTAATGGTAAACATCGAGTCGGGGCGTGTTGCGACTGGTCGCTGTCGGTTTGTGCCTTTGTTTAGATAAATCCGTTCGGGTCAGCGTTTCTTTTTAACGTTTTCTTTTTAACGTTTCACTGTCGTTTGTTCCGTTGCTAGAAGAGACTGTCGTCTGATTTGCCCAATTGTTGTCCTGTCTCCATGTCCCATGGGTTTTTGGTCAGCACACAACTACCGGGTGGCTTAAAAAAGAATAGGTTTTCTTCCATCTATATTATTATCTTTTACTCATGTACCCTGTTTTCGTTTATGATTTTTAACGTTGCGCTTTACAATGTGGTGTTTCCCATGTTCCAGGAAATCTGGCCCGTTTTTGACCTTCATCTGATCTTCATCTGATCTTCATTCGACTTATGCATGACTTTCCTATCACTTTCACCTCAGATTCACCTCAGCTGCATCTTCTGCTCATCTCTTCCCACCTCCGCCCTTCCCACCTTTGCCGCCTCCTGCACCGCTCTTCCCAACACCCTTGCCTTTGCCCCCTTTGCCTGCGCCGCCCTTGACACCCTTGCCGCCCTTTCCTCCCCCTCCGCCACCGCCGCCGCCGCCACCACCTCCGCTTCCGCCAAAGCCGCCGCCCTGCACCAGAGTCAGCTTGCCCACCGGCACACTGTTGGACGCCTCCTCCATCTTGATACCCGAGATCAGCTCCACCTCCCGCGGCCACATGCGCTCCGGGTCGCGGCTCTCCTCGTCGATGACATTGGGGTTGGCCTTGCCGGCCTCACCAACGCGCCGCCACCGCTCGAGCACGTCCCGCATGGCACGGCCCTTCTTCGTCGGGCCCGGCTGCAGCTTGACTTTGTACTTGAGCTTGGACAGTGCCATCCAGGGCCCGCAAACGGGAACCATCTCGAGGATCTCGTCGCCGGGGGCAGGCCGCGTAACAAGAGAGCTGAGCACGTCCAGGCTGCCGGCGTCATCAGCGTCGTCCGTGTTGCCGAGTGCGCCGCCGCCATTGCCATTGTCGCCGCCAGCCTCCATCTTGGCCTGCCGCGCCGCTTCGAAATCACGCATTTTCTGCAGCTGCTTCTCCTTTTGGATGCGACGGCGCTCTTCGTAGGCCGCAATCTCGGCCTCGCGCTGGGCCTTGGCACGCAACTTGGCCTCCTGCTTCTCGCGGCCGGCGGAAATGCCGACAAGCTTCTCGGCGCGGGCCCGGTCCTCGTCATCCTGGTCTTTGTATTTCGCCAGCTTCTTGGCTTTGGCCTTTTGGCCGCGCTTGGAGCTGCCGCCAGAGCTGGTGTTAACGCTCGAGCCCCGGGACGGCGTTGGTGAGCTAGCGCGGAGATGCGAATGTGCCTTTCCGATCCATCCCGCCGCTGGAGCGGCCGAATCGGCATCGTCCTCTGGCTCCTTCTTCTCGTCTGCCACATTTTCTGCCACACTTTCGGCCTCTCTACCGTCGTTGTCTTCTGCTTCCTTGCCCTCAACTGCGACCGCTTCGGCTATTGCTGCTGGCTCAAGAGTGGGTTCTTCCTCTGTCGTGTCCACCGGCTCTTGTGTCTGCTTCCCTGCATCGTCGAGCTTTTCATCGGAATCGCTGTGGCCAACCTCTGCTATCTCCTCTTCCTCCTCCTCTGCCTCTTCATCTTCATCTTCGTCGACGTTGGTCGGTGGCGATACGAACTGGTGCTTTCCGTGGTTGACTCGGCTGGCATCGCTAATTTTGAAATACAGACCGAACCCGAGCACACGCTGCGGCGGTGGCATATGGTTCTTCTCTCCGCGGACGTCGAAGGAGCCGGGCGGGAGGATGTCGCCGCTGGCGGTCGACTTGAAGACCTGGTTTGAGTGCACCCAGTATGCACCCATGCCGGCCTTGGTGTCCCACGCCTCAGAAGCGCACACGGCCAGCGTTCCGGCTTGTGCCAGCGTCGCCGGTGGGATGGGCGCGTCAACATCGGTGTCGGGGCGGTTCTTGATGATAATCATGCCCGGCGAGCCCTTGAGATCGGCATGCACGTAAACATCGCCCCGGCGGAGGTACTGACGGTACAGCATCTCGCATTGCTGCGACTCGCGGGCAGCGAGAATCAGGTGGCCGTCGGACGAGATGAACCACCAAAACTTTTCGAACCAGAGTTGCCGGCGGATAAGTTGCGGCGTTGGCTTGCCCGTCTTTTGGACGCGCTTCAGCTCCTCGACCACTTTTTTCTCGGCATTGCGCAGCGCCAACGAAGTGACCTCCTTGGTCTTCTGCTCCTTGACGGCTGCCACACGCTTCTGGTCGTAGTACTCGCGGGCATTGCTCCATACGGACAGAGCCAGCTTGACATCGACATCAATCGTCCCGTGGCCTTCGTCCCCATCTCCATCCTGCTCGTAGGCACCCTCCTCGTACTCTTCCTCCCAGCCCTCTTCGGGCTCTTCGTGCAGCCGCAGAGTAATCGTGCCCTCGGCCAGGTTCATAGGCAGCTTGATGAGCGCCGCCACCGGGTTGCTAGCCGCGCTGTTTTCAATCATGACTTGGAGGTCACCCCAGTCCATGCCCAGCTGCAGCTGTTCGTTGACGGCATCAATGGCCAGCTGCACCCAATCCTTGTTGGCCTCGATGGCCGCGGCCTTCCGGACGTTGAGTTGTTGTGTCTCCTGCAGCGATTCGATGCGCTGTGCCTGGTCGCGCTTGGTAGCCTCAAGCTTCTTGGAGGCAGCCGACTCCTGCTGGTGGACCTGGCGATCTGCCTTGAGGCCTTGCAGGTGCGAAAAGAACTCGTCGGCCGCCTGGTTGAAGGAAGCAAAAGGCAGGACCACATATTTCGGGTCAATCTCAAACTGGCGGGGGCTGAAGGGATGGAAGTCTACATAGTCAAGATCGCTTCGCCGAGACGCTGGTGTGGGGTGGCTGCTCGCCGATTCCGATGCTGCGTCGCCGTGTCCTTCGTCCGCCTGTGCATCTTCCTGGGGCACCTCTTTGTTCGTAGCAATGATGTAGCCACGGCAGTTGGTGCCAGCCTGGGTCAGGCCGTCGGTCACGGTACGCACTTCCTGGAGCACCTTCAGCAAAGCTTGAAGGCGTGTCTCATCGGCCAAGATGTCCTCCGGCTGAGCGGCGTTTTTCATATCAAACTCAGACAGCAGCAAGATGTGGTCGATCAGCACCTGGGAGAGATCTGTGAAAGAAAGAGCCAGGATGCGGCTGAGGCCCTTTGTCTTTTTCTTCTTCTTGGCCGGCGGAGCCGCTACAGGAGCAGTTTCGCCCTCGGCTGGTGCAGCCTTTGGCACATCCGCAGAAACTGCATTTTGAAGCACCTCGCGCAGCCGGTCCAGCGTCAATTCCGGAACCTCTGAGACATTCTTCCGGGCGCCAATAGCATACGGACTGCCAACACTGAGCGTCACATCAAGACTGGCGCTACGAAAGGCGGCCACTGTACGCTGCAGCGCCAAGACCTTGGAGTTGGCATCTGTCAGCACAACATTGCCGGCCGAGAAGAACTCGAAGTAGAGGCGCAGCTGGCCGTCGTTGAAGCTAATCTCGATGATGCGATCAGTGCCGACCTGAGCAACGCCCGTGACTATGCGGCCGTTCAAGAACGTGCGCAGACGGCTGACAAACGTCGAGGGCGCATTGTTGGCCCCGCCGCCGCTGCCCGTTCCCGACGCATTGGCCGAAGCACGAGCATCGTAGGCCGTCAAGTGACAGCGGAACCCCGAGTCGACGACAAGTTGGTGCTTGTCCTGGTTGCGGGAAAAGCGCAGGAGGATGGTGCGTGAGTTGGAGGAGGAACCGGAATTCGCCGCGGATGGCGGGACGAGGTCGTAGACGTTGGAGATTCGGTTGCCGGCGAGGGATTGGTTGAGCTCGTGGCTTATTGCCTAGAAAGAAGGATGGCGGGATGGTTAGCAGTGGAACGGACGGCAAAACGGCGCGCGGGACAGTTTTCCCGTCTGTTAACATACCCGGACATCGAGAGAAGAGAAGCGCTGCTTCATGGTGGCTGCATGTCCAAAAAAAATGTGTTGTTTGTGGCCGTCAATGGGCGAAATCGCGAAACGTTCCAAGTTGGAAATGAGGCACGTTGGCAGTTCAAATACTGCAGTTGGAACCGGGCCTAGCGATTGCCGCTTTAGATTCTGAGAATGACCCAGAATGACTCTTGGCCGACGAAGGCGGCAGGGGCGGGGCCGAAATTACGTCAGCGAGTTTGACGTTTTGAGGCCGGCCGCGACTAACACAACCTGAAAGGGCAATAAGGCTGCGGCCGAAAGAAAACTTGAGGCCATCACAACAAAGAATAGTCCATGATATCCAACGATTTTCCAGATCAAGTCCAATACACGGGAAAAGAGCAAGGCAGCTTTAAAATGAAAACTTTAACAGCACACAAATATGACGTACAATCCAAGACATCTCCAATATTAGGCCCTGTTTGTCCTTTGATCTTGAACCTCAACTCAATAGTACACATTTGGAGCCTTGTAAAAAAAACTAAAGTCATATCACCAAAAAGTCCAAAACTGCCAAAAACGTCCAAAAATATAAATCAACAAGTTTAACGCACAGAATCAACCCGAAAACTTAAAATCTACAATGCTGTCTAACCAATAGAGGTTTCACGTCTGGCTGAGCTGCCGCAGCTCAATCTCGCGCTCGCAAGACAGCCACTGTTTCTTACCCACGCGCATCTCGTAGTGCGGCGCAATCTCGCTGACGTCGTGCATGGACGCCTGGATGCCGTTGCAAGTCTTGCTACGGTAAGTGTCCACTGGTTTAGTGATGTTAGCATGTGTCGTTTGTAGCATCGCAAAGGGGGTTATATGCATTCCGTACAAGCTTTCTGCAAAAATATGCGGCGGCCTGCAAAAGCACGGCTCTGCAGCCACGCCATACGGCAGCCCAGGTCATTGAGTCGCACCTGCTTGCGACGCAGTGCCTTGCGCATCCGCGGCATGGCCACCTCTGTCTCGACGCCATCACCCACCGGAACTGTGACCATTGTCGACGTGCCGTCCAGGCTATCGCTGCCCCCTGACATGGCCATGCGCAGGCGGTGGTGCTGACGGCGTCTGCGGCCAGCCCCAGCATCACCGCTGGCCTCCACCTCGTCGCCCTCGTTGTCTAGGTTCAGGTCCTCGACGTCATCTTGGTCGTGGACGAAGAAGCGACGGCCCGTGGGACTGGGAGGCGGGCTCTCCATCTCACGCGGGAAAAACGAGCCCGGGCACACGGCATTCGAGCGACGGAAGGAGTCCGGGATCTCGCTTGTGTCAACCATGTTCAGCGTTACGCGCACACGCAGCCGCGATCCACGGTCTTCAACCAGAACAAATTTGCGCTTCTTTGCCTCAGGAACATCAGGGAACAAGCCGTCAGGCTGCGGTACAACCTTTTTGGTGCCCGCACTGCCGCTCACGCTGCCGGCATTGTGTGCAATCGCCACCGAGGAAGACATCGGTGGCAGAGGTGCGCCGCTTGCGTAGCCGCCGTAGGGGCTGTCGAAAACGAGCGCCGGCCGGGAATCCTGTGCATCTAGACTTGGCGCCGTAGAGGCACCAACGGCTGGAGCGTGGGTATGATGATGTTGGCTTTCGTCAACATACGAATCTTCTCTCTCGCCTGTGGTCATCAATATGGTCAGCTTGATGGTCATATATCGTGGTGATGGTAGAATGAAAGGCGACGAGATGACAATGTTGACCATGGGATGACGATGATACATAAGAGTGGGAGCACGACCAAACATGGTGAGTGTCAACACTCACCAGCCTCAGGTCACTAGACAACGACGAGGACATGCATGAAGTACCACGGCACAGACCAGCCAGTGTAGGGAGAATCGACAGGTTAGATACCAAAGAAGGGATAACCCAAGCAAACAAGCATGAGCAGGGGTGGCGGGAGTGAGCGGGGACCATGACAGACTAGGCAAGGATTGGAAAAGGAGACCGAATTGGTGTGTATGATGCAACGACAAGATACCAGGGGTTCGAAAGGGGGCAAAGAGAACGAAGGGGGGTTCTGGCCCCTCAGGCAAGGATAGGCCTCGACAAAATAATAGATGTGAAATGGGGGTGGACACTTCCAAATGCAGCAAAAAGAGACATTTTGTAGAGAACGAATCGTCTTTACAATAGAAAACTGTGTGCAAAAAATGAAACGGAGTCCTTATGGTACGTCGATTCCAGTCTCCGCCACGAGGCGTGACGAGATTCCATCAAACGGACTACTCGCATCCCAGATACTCTTGTGTTCTTTTATATTTCCACGGCTGCTTGCCTCGTACACTTGTTTTCTTCGACCATTGGCGAGTTTCCTTTCTCTAGCCTGGCGCGGCCACATCGCACGAACGTCGACCAGCCTCGTCCGCCAGGTGAGAGAGAGAATAAGGATCAGAAAAAACGATGCAAGTAGAAAACAGTAAAGAGGCAGGAATAAATGTAAAAGAAAACAGGTGAATGGCGAGTCTGCCTATCTTGCCGCGTCCTGCGCTTAACACCAAATTTCCTGTTTCACTTTATCCAGTCCTTCTTTTTCTCTTTGGCCACTTCCAAATTCCTCCCGGTCGACGACTATAAGATGTCTCCCGAAGCCAGCCCATCAAGCCGACAAAAAATCAAGCACAACAACGCCGCTAGGCAACGTTGGGAAACAACAGTGCTGGAGACTGAACAAGAAAGTGACAGGGAAGAACAAAAACACCATACGTCAGCCGTCAAATAGCATTGCGACCTAGCACGACACATAACATTTGAGAGTAGTGTACAGAATCCCTGCTTTGTTGTGCGCCAGCTGTCACCTGAGCTTCGTTCAGAAGGGGAGGACTCAGGCCGACTATAAAGAGTATATATATCAAAATGACCAAAAAGGTGAAAAAGAACAAAAATAAGGAAACAAAAACAACGAAAGATATGTAATAGCCGGGTCAAGGAGAGGAATAGGAAACAAGAATCGCGGAAGAGAAATCTTTGAAGAAACCAGAACCAGAAGAACCAAGATATGGCGGTTGAGACCCTCGCCAATGAGCCACAAGGAAATTGAAATGACAGTGTTGGATGAGAGAAGAAGAGGAAATGGCAAAGGACAAAAAAGGGGTGAGAAAAGAAGTATATAAAAAGCGATCTTTGAGAAAAGGTATCAAAAACGTCGTGCCAGATTCGGTCATAACAGGAAAATGTGAAAAGGCAGAAAAGTAAGAAAAAACATAGAGCGAAAAACCAATCAACCAGATCTTTACATCTGATGGAACATACCAGCTTCGTCTCCGCCAGTGTGTGCCGTCGTGTCGGCGTGGTGGCTAAGCTGCTGGGGCATGCCGTGCAGAGGCTTACCCATCGGAGTACCGACGTTGGGGAGCGTGGCAGGGCCACCGAGGTGGGCGGGCGACTGGTGGCCGACACCTGAAGTCATGCTGCCGGGTGTAGAGGCTGCATTCTTGCGGGAACCCATCTTCGCCATGCGACGGACGCGGCGACTCCGCAACCGGGGGTCCTGGTTACTGTTACGCCAGCTGTCAACCGCCCGCTGGATGAGGCCGCGCTTGCCGCGCAACGGTGGGTTGAGCTGGGCAAGAGACCAGCCGACGGTGTTACACTCGCTCTCGTACTGCAGGCGGTTGCCCCGGTACTGTTCACGAGGGCAGCAAGCACGGGGATAAACACAGTTGTCCTGCTTGAACTCAGGGGAAAGGTCATCGGTCGACACCGACTCAACGTCGCAGCGAATCGTATACTCCATCTTGACACGGTCACGGGAGTACTCAAACGCAATCCACTGAACACCGTTCTGGTCCTGACGCACCACCAGTGGTGTCGTTGCAGGGATCGGGCCAGGCGCTGCATTTGGGTTCACGGCCGCCTGACCAGCGCTGCTGGCCTGACCAGAAGGAAGCGGGCTTGTACCGTTCGGCTGGGGCGTGTGCGCGGAGTGTTGCTGAGGGTGCTGAGGAGGCTGCTGGGGGTGCTGGGGGTGCTGGGGGTGCTGCGCATGCTGCGCATGCTGAGGGTGCTGTGCGTGTTGAGGGTGCTGAACATGGTGCTGGTGTTGCGAGTGCAGGTTCTGTGTTTGGTGTGCCTGGTGTGCCTGGAGATTCTGGGCGTGCATGTTCTGCGCCTGCAAATTCTGAGCTTGGACTTGCCCCATGGAGAGCGGCGAAGGTGCGTTCGGGGGACCAGTTTGGCGCGAGAGCTGAGGGGTAAGGCTCTGGACCTCCATCTTTGCGTGACGCGGGCTACCCGCCAACGCGGACGGGCTGTGCTGGCTCGGGTGTTGGGCCATCTGATGCGGCACGGGGGACGGTGCGCCGTGAGACATCATCATAGCGGGCTGCGAGCCCATGGACTGATGGGGGGCTTGTGTGTGTTGGCCATATGGAGAAGGAGCCGCTGATGGCGGCAAGGGTTGGTACTGCTGGTGCTGGCCATAGTACATCTGCTGCTGATGAAGTGGTGGCGGCTGGCCGTACAGACTACGCTGCTGATCATGGGCGCTTGTTGAAGCCACGGAGGCAGGGGAGTTTGATTGCGGCGTATGGTAGGACATGGGCGGGTACTGAGGTCTGGACATCGTTGCGGTCATCATATCTGTTTACAGCAAAACCCAAATGGTCAGTTACAACTGGTCTCAGTCGATCGTGAAGAGACTCGCATTGGGCGCAATATGTGATGTATTACCTGCAGAGGTATACCCGCTGTTCGCAGCGGGAGCGTTGTAGGGACTGGATTGGTAGTTATAGAGGTCTTGCGGATGATGACCACTGCTGTGCTGCGACTGCTGGTGGTAGACAGGATAGGGTGATGCCTGCTGTTGAGGTTGCGTTGTCTGAGCCTGGGCTTGATGTACTGTACTTGGTGGGCGAGATTGTTGCAAATGCGGCGGTGCTTGACTCTGAGGATGTTGTGGGTGGTTGTGGTGCTGGAGAGACCTAGTCAGTAACGTTGGTCCTGCGGAACCTAGTTTATACGTGAACCAGGCACGAAGGCAATGGCACATAAACAAATTTTGATGCAGGAAAAAGAAAGAAGGGGCGGCGGGGCAGGTGCTTGTTTAATGTCTCGACATAACGTTGACGAGCAGGGGTGAAAAGCTAGTGTTTGGGGGGGGATATGGGAGGAATTATGGGAAGTAAAGACAGAAGAAACAAAAGAGCCAGGCATGCCGCGCCGCAAGTCTTAATTGCTCAGATAAGAAACGGGAAAGAAAAATCAGGGGCGGGAGACGATCTGCGGGTGTAGGCGACAGATGCCACCACGTTCATTTTTCAAACCAGGGCGGACTGAACCTAACTGAACTTGAGGCTGCCCTTGAGATGCCCCCCTTCTATCGTTTCCAACTCCTTGTATGGTTTCTAACTAAGAACCAAACACTTGAAAGCAGTTGTGCCATGTAGTGTTATTTTGTCAGGCGAGTGTTTGGGGATCGGTATTTAGATGCACAAGATGGTGTAATTCACTATCCAGCCAGCATAAACGTTCGACATATTTGTGCAGATGTTGTCGATGACACAATAGGTATATGGGAAGAGGCGAGCAAGGACCAACGAGGAGGCAAGGCCAGCTATGACAACCGAACTTGGAGAAGGAGAAAGTGACGTGGCGAGCAGACGACAGACAGGACGGGCAAGCGCTGAGGTGATGTTGACGAAGGGGCACAAGGCGAGAGGTATACATACGCAACAGGTCCAACGAGATAAGAATTGGGCGAGGCGAGAACGAGCGAAAGACACCAGGATAGTTGCTGTTGAAAGAGAACGTGCAAAGACGATATATTCGAGGTGGAAGACAAGGAAGTGGTGTAGTCGCAACTTAGACGGGTGGGGGAGGTGAAGGAAGCCCAGGTTCTTATGTAGGCCAGTGCAAAATGGGGGAGAGAAACTAAATAAAAGAAAACAGGAGGAGGATGTTGATTTGTGTCGCAAGGCCGCTTTGAGCTTCTTTTGCTTTGGTTTGGGAGTTTATTTTAGTGTTTGCCTTCCAGCTTCCCTGGTTGGAGGTGAATGAACTTCCTGAACAGGTGGAAGAAAAGTGGGTACTCGCAAACAGCATACAGAAACCCATAAAATTCGGGGGGCATAACATCGATGAGATGAGCCAGGGCAGAGGTGTGAATGGGGACAGCGGGGACCAGGATCAAGGATGCTAATCTCCAGGAGAAAGGTATTCTGGGACAAGACTGGAGGAATAGGGGGTGTGAAAAAAGGGGAAGAGCACGCTATTGGGGTAGCGGGAGAGTTGAGCATGGCCAATGGGCAACGTCTGCTGCAGAACCCACTCCGTTCGGCGATGGCCCAATAGAGAGCCACTGGCCGGGACAAGGGACGGGGGACACAACCCGGGGGGTTTCGAAAGACTGGAACTCGGGTGCCTCACTGGGTGTCTGTCGTCCCCCTTTGTTTCCTCCCCCAATCCCAAACTCGACAAGGGCGGTGTGTGGAAGACACGATCCTTGTCGGCACCATGAGCACCAGCCATATAGCCCGCGCCACATGAAGTGGTGCAGGAACAGAGACGCAAAGGCTGATCATAGTGAACTGAAGCAAGCTCAATTGGAAGCGCGAGCTGCCGCTGCCGCTGTCAGATGGCCTTCAATTCCGCCAACAAGCCGCACGAGCCAGGCAAGAAAAACACCCAAAAATGCCAGTCGCAAGTTTGGCCTGACTTGCTCTCCCTCCTCCTTCGTCGAATCACTTCCTGGTACGATGCAACCCAAACAAGACACTTGCAAAAAGAAGAAGCCTCTTCTTTAACC